CCTCCTCCCTCCTCCATGCGCTTCACCCACCCAGTACAGCGCTTCGTGGCCGCACAGGGAGTTCCACCGAAGCCCCCAGTGGGACCGTCCGCATGCGCCCCAGAAGCCCAATTTGGCATTTTCACACCCACCCTGTACAGCGCCTCGTTGCCCCATGAGGAGTTCCACCGAAGCCCCGAGTGGGACCGTCCGCGTGCGTCGTGGACACCCATGTGGGCATTTTCACCCACCCAGTACAGCGCTTCGTGGATAGGGAGCTCCACCGAAGCCCCCAGTGGGACCGTCCGCATGCATCCCGGAAAGAGCTCCACCGAAGCCTCCAGTGGGACTGTCCGCATGCGTCCCGGAAACCCAATATTCGCATTTTCACCCACCCAGTACAGCGCTTCGTGGCTCCATAGCGAGCGCCACCGAAGCCCCCAGTGGGACCTTCCGCATGCGCCCCAGAGAGAGAGAGAGAGAGAGAGAGACAAAGCTGAATGCAAAGCACATGAGCACAAATGCCGTGGCCTTACAATGCGTCGCAATACCGCTTCACGGTTGCGCGCCAGGCTGCGGCAGAAATTACGCCATCTTGCCAGAGCAGCGGCAGGGCCTCCTCACCCCCCGCGGCCCGGACAGCGTGCGCAAAAACAGCGTCGATCCAAGTTTTCCGGGGGCGCCCCCGTTTTCGCTTGAAGTTATGTGCTATAAGCTGGCATGACAAAGGGCGTAGGACCAGGCACTTGACCGGGTCATCAGCTGGCTTCCGGGCAATATGCCCCATGAGCAGCAGCTGACGATTCAGCAAAGTATTGCTCAGTGGGTCAGCGCCTGCTTGCTCCAACACGCTTGAATTTGTTACGCGGCTAATGTACGAGTGAGATATGCGAAGTATCTGCCTCAAGCATCTCACGTGGAATGCGTCGAGCTTCTTCGTCTCCGCCTGGTTCAGGAAGGCCGTGTGCAGACAATACAACAGTTTACTGAGAATGCAAGCGTTGAACACCTCCAGCTTCCTTGACTGCGTCAGCGTGGAATGGCCCCACACTCGCTTCAACTTGTCGAATTCCGCCCGCGTGGCACCAAGTCGGCAGGAGAGTTCAGGGCCGATCTTCCCGTCGCTCGAAATCAAGCTGCCCAGATATTGAATGCTCTCTTTCTGCGGCACCCAGGAACCGTCTGGCCTCGGAATATGCGCATTACAGCCAACGGCTAGAACTTCCAGCTTGCGCCAATTGAACTGTAGCCCGTACTGCGATCCGGCTTTCTCGATGCTGCGCATGTATGCCGTCGCTGTATCGGACTTGCCAGACACAAGCAGTGTGTCGTCGGCGTAGACCAACTCATGCACTGCCTGGGAGGGGTCCAGCAGTGGCCCGGCCTCCTCCTTCGCGTCTCGCAACAACACGGTCATCACGATTGCGAATGGGAAGGGCGACAGCGGGCATCCCTGGCTGATGCCGAATTCCTGCGCCCTCGGCGCCGAGGTCGAGCCATCATCCCGTACACAGAAACTTCGCTCCCGGTAGATCGCCCGCACCACCTCCACGAACTTCGCGGGCACGCCAAATCTAACAAGAGCTAGTGCTAGAGACTCCGGGGAGACGCTGTCGAAGGCTTTCGCCCAGTCGAGAGCCAGCAGGACGACTTGCACCCCCTTCTCGGCCCAAGTTCTTTCAAGAATTCGCCGTACCAGAAAAATCGCGTCCGCTGTTCCGTGCTTGGACTTGAAGCCGAACTGAGTTCGCCAAATTCGGCTCTCGGCCCCGCCCGCTTTCAGCCGGCCAGGCAAAACTGCAGCGAAAATTCGGTAGCCCACGGCCGTCAAGGAGATGGGCCTGTAGTTTTCACACTGGGCCACGTCTCCCTTCTTGAATATTGTTGCGACCAGCGCCTCGTGCCACTCTGCTGGAACTGTTGCGTCACTCCAGCACTTATTGCACAGCTCGACAGCCCATCTGCAGGCAGGCGTCCCAGCTCGGCAGAGTGTCTTCCAAAACTCTGGCGGGATATCGTCTTTGCCAGAGGCCTTGCCTTGCTTCATACGTGCAGCAGCGCCAACGACTTCGTCTTCGGTGATTGGGCCACATGGCACGGCAAGCTCGTCGCCAAGGGGGTCCCCGTCCAGCGCTGCGCTTGTCGGCCGCACTGCCCATTGGACTTTGCAAAGGTACTCTGCCATTGTGTCGGCACGTTGGTCGGAGTCAACAAGACGACCTTCCATGTCGGCTAATCGGCCCTGCTGGGCTTGCGCTCCTTTTCTCAGGGTGCGTATCGGCGCCCAGTCTCCAGAGGCGAGTTGGCTCTCTAACCAATCCGAACGGTCCGCCCGGACGGAATCTCTGACAGCTCGGTGCAAGCGCCGCTCTTCACCCACCCAGTACAGCTTTTCGTGGAAGCAAAGCTCGGTGCAGAAGCTCGGTGCAGAAGCCCAATTTGGCATTTTCACCCACCCAGTACAGCTTTTCGTGGCCCCGTAGGGAGCTCCACCGAAGCCCTCAGTGGGACCGCCCGCTTGCGCCCCCACCCACACACCAAATTTGGCATTTTCACATACCCACTACAGCGCTTCGTGGCCCATATGGGGGCTCCACCGAAGCCCTCAGTGGGACCGTCCGTTGGCATTTTCACCTACCCAGTAGTACAGCGTTTCGTGGCCCCATAGGGAGCTCCACCGTGGCCCCATAGGAAGCTCCACCGAAGCCCTCAGTGCCACCGTCCGCATGCATCCCAAAAGTATCAAATTTGGCATTTTCACGTACCCAGTAGTACAGCGCTTCGTGGCCCCATAGGGAGCTCCACCGAAGCCACCAGTGGGACCGTCCGCATGCGTCCCACACACCCTATTTGGCATTTTCACCCACCCAGTACAGCGCTTTTTGGCCCCATAGGGGGCTCCACCGAAGCCCTCAGTTGGACCGTCCGTATTCGCCCCGGAACCCCGATTTGGTATTTTCACCAACTTAGTACAGCGTTTCGTGGCCCCATACGGAGCTCCACCGAAGCCCCCAGTGGGACCGCCCGCATGCGTCCCCCCCCACCCACTGCAGCGCTGCGTGGCCCCATAGGGGTGGGCTCCACCGAAGCCCTCAGTGTCACCGTCCGCATGCGTCCCGAACATATCAAATTTAACATTTTCACGGGGAGCTCCACCGAAGCCCTCAGTGGGACCGCCCGCGTGCGTCCCACACACCCAATTCGGCATTTTCACATACCCAGTACAGCGCTTCGTGGCCCCATAAGGGGGCTCCACCGACGGCCCCAGTGCTACCGCCCGCACGCGTTCCACCCCACCCAGTGCAGCGCTTCGTGGCCCCAGAGGGAGCTTCACCGAAGACGATATTCACAATTGCGGTACCGACAAATGCAGATGGTTGGGTCCTTCGCCAGGCCCGCCGTCGAGGGTTGCTAAAGGTTCCCCTGGCCCAGGGTGCCCCCAACTTTTTGCTTATTTTTGGAGCCCCTGGGGCCCTCTGGGCCTCGTGAGGGGTGCTCTGGAGGCCGTGGGGGCCTCCTTGGAAATCCTGGAGGCACCTTGGGCCAGGAGCACTTCTAGCAGACCAGGGGCCGGAGAAGGCCCCCCTCCGGGCCGAAAACGGCCAGAAACCTCCCGTCGCGTTCGCTCCACGACGGCTCGCCGGTCGCCCCTCGGGTCTCCGGCGGCCGCTCGGGACGATCCGGGCATCCCCCGAAACGCCTTCGGCGGGGCGCAGCTGCAGGAGAGCCGCCCGAGTCCGAACAACCTCTGGGGACCGACGGGAACCTCCGAAAACCTACGGTTGACAACGGAGGAGCGCACCGCAGCCGAGGCCGCCTGGCTGCCGGCGCCCCGGCAAGCCCGCTCTGCCGCGTGGCGGCCCTCCTGGCCATGCGACTGGGGCCCCCTGAGCGGGGACCGTGGCGGACCAGGACGCTGGCGCGCCCGAGAAGACTGCAGCCATGGGCCGAAGCATCCTCCACTCTCGCAGGCGATCTGTCTCCCCCAGCCCCCGACTCTTCGGCGGAAAATGAAGCTGCTCAGAAAAGGCGGGAGACCCTGGGATACACCCCAAAGGGGGCTATTCCTATCGAGGATGGACGCCCCCCATCGTATATCCCAGAGTTGGGCCCCAGATTTCTGGTCCAGTCGACAGACCCACGAAGCCTGGAAAGGGGTCGACATATCCCCTGTTACACTTTTCCTTCTCTCCCGGTCGAGTGTTCAGAGTCCTGGTGCTACAGTCAGGGACTTTGGTTTCGCGTGTCGCGTCGCCCGTTCTGGCCCATACCACGCTTCGGCGCGACACGCAATCCACGTCCCCATTCCCAGGCGTCAACGTCCCGCGCCTTTCCTGGCCTCCCGCCCCGCGGAGCGGAGCGACACGCTGCTATCCACTCGCAGGGCATAGTTGGCGTGTCGCCTGGGCCGCCGCCGCGACACGCCGAGCAAGAGTTCCCGACCGTAGCAGCCCTGAGATCCGACGGGGCGAGAACCATTCCACATCGCGAGCACTCACGACTGAACGGAGCCCTGGACCCCGTCTCCCTGCGCCGTTTTGCGAGCCGGATCGAGGTGCGAGGGCCCCCGGGCCCGAATGTCCCGGCCGAGCGCGCCCTGCTCGCGAACGCAAGCGCGACGCCGAGGTCTCGGGGAAGATGTCTTGGTTCTGGGGGCCCTGGCCCCCTCCACGCCGCCCTGCCCGCCCACGCGGCCCGGGCCCGGCGGCTCGCCGAGAAGCCCCGCGCGCGGGGCGCGCCGAGCGCGAGCCCGCCGCCGCCGCCCCCCGGCGGCGTCGCCGCCGCCGCCGCTGCACCGAGCGCCGCGGCGCTCGGCGGCGGGGCCCCCGCGCAGCTCTCGGGCGCGGCGGGCTCGGCCCTCGGCGAGGGCCTCGAGCGGGGGCCCCTCCTCTCGGCGGCCGCGCCAGGGGCGCCTGCGGCCCACGGCCCGGCCCGCCTCGCGCCGGCGCAGCTCTCGGGCGCGGCGGGCGCGGCCCTCGGCGAGAGCCTCGAGCGGGGGCTCCTCCTCTCGGCGGCCGCGACGGGGGCGGGTCGGGAGCTTGCGCTGGGAGTGTCGCTCAGGGGGTCAACGTCCCAAGTTCGGCGTCAACGTCCCAAGTTCTTCTCGCTGTCCCGTCCCACGAGGCGGAGCGACACGACATCCGCCTGCAGGGTATAGCGTGTCGCCGGGGCCGCCGCGGCGACACGCTAAGCAACAGTTCCTGACTGACCGTGTATGGACCACGGCCCGCAGTCATCCTGGCGCCGTGAAACGCCCTCGCTGGGCCCTGAGGCCGTGAACAAAACTACCCGGGATGCTGCGAACACATGTCTGGGGGAGGGGAAGGAGGGGGCGCTGCATGCATCCAGGGGCTCCGCCCGCCCATGTCTTCGGCGGGGCTTCGGGCGAGCACATGTGATGCCCGCCTCATGGGGCGATCCACCCCCGTTGCCTCTGCCGATCATCGGGCAATCCGCGCTGCACAGCCTCCGCGAGGCCAGCGCTGCGCTCGCTCTGCAGCGGCGCACGACGGCGGCGGCTGCAGCGGCGGCCCAGCAGCGCCAGCACACTGGGGCGCCTGGCAGTTCGCAGGATGTCGAAGAGCAGCAAACATAAACATAAGATTTCGGAGGTCCGAGCGGATTCCTTGGATGGATCGGCGCTGGGCCGCCTTAACGGCGCCTCCAGCGCCGCCCCTGGCGCGCTGCACGCGCCAGGAAGGGGTCCAGCGCCGATCCAAGAAATTCGCGCTGAATTCCGAAATTTAGGTTTATGCCATGTCTTGCTCATTTAAGGATGTGGGCGTGACCCTGGACGACATGCGCCCAGTGTTCTACGCCCTGGCCCCCCTCACCCTGCTCTGCTTCGGCTTCTTCGAGTACAGCCACAGGCGCTGGTCGGACGTGGACTTCGACACCCCGATGGAGCTGCCCCCAGAAAAGAGCACGAGGCTGGACGGCATGTTTCGGGGCATCTGGCCTCTCGTGAAGCCGTACGCCCTGTGGAATCAGCAGCGGCATCGGGGTCAAGCGTACGTCGCCGTACTGCTGGTGCTCGCGGGGGCTGCGCTGCTCATCTCGTTCACGCTGAACATCTGGCAGGGCGAGTTCTGGAACGCGTTCGAGGACAAGGACGTGGCGGCATTCTGGCACATCATGCGGGCGTACGTCGCCATCGTCATCACGTGGGTTGTGGTGGGCACCTACACAGGCTATATCCGGCAGATGCTCGAGATCGATTGGCGTACGTTCATGACAAAGCGTCTTCAGCGGGATTGGCTGACAGGGCAAGCTTTCTACCGCATGCAGCTAGACCAGCGTAGCCAGAAGTCAGTCATGGACAACCCTGACCAAAGAATACAGGAGGATGTGGCAATGTTTGTGAGCACCTCTTTACAGTTGGGTTTTGGCCTGGTTTCCACTGTCGGCCAGCTTGTGATTTTTTTACCTCTGCTTTTGATGCTGAGCCCGAGTTATGCCTTCGGCGTTGTGTATCTTCCCGGCTGGCTTGTGTTCATCGCCCTTGGCTACTCGCTTGTGGGGTCATTTGCGGCACACTTCATCGGCCAGGAGTTGATACGTTTAGGCTTCGCCAGACAGCGCTATGAGGCAGATTTCCGTTACCATGTGGTACAAATCCGGGACAGTGCGGAGGCCATTGCGCTCTATGGCTCCGAGGAGGTTGAGATGAATATTCTCAACTCGAGGTTCGAGGGGGTACGACGTGTATTCTGGGAATTGATGCTTTACCAGAAGCGGTTGGGCTTCTTCAGCTCGTTCTACTTCATCACAGGTTGGATGTTTCCTTTTATTGTCCTCGCTCCATCCTTTTTCGCTGGCGAGATCACTATGGGACACCTCTTCCAGATCTCATCGGCTCTGGGGCAGATCAGAGACAGCTTCGACTGGTTCATCAGCACATACCCCATGCTCGCGGATTTCCGTGCGACCTCCGACCGTCTGCTCTCGTTCGAGGACCTGGGGCCGGGGTCCGAAGCCTGCTGCGTGCAGCTGGTTTCGTACCCACCGCCAGGCGCTTCCTCGATGCAAGGGCTTCTCCCAGCGAAGGGAGGCGCCGGGAGAGCCAGTCGCATGGGGCCGAGTCGCACCCCCCCCCCCAGAAATCCGCCCATTCCTCCTTCCTCCTCCTCCTCCTCCTCCTCCTCCTCCTCCTCCTCCTACTCAAGTTTGGCTCAAGACTGTTTTTTGATTGTCTCAAGCTGTCCGCATACAGTACAGCTGCTTCTCCCAATCACATTTCGATTTCTTTCGCCGCCATGCCAGAGAAACACACGATTTCTTCTCCTGAGCCACTGCGCTCGGCACTCAAACCAGCAGAGAAGATGGCTCGCACTGGCAGCTCACCACTGAAGGTCGACGCAGGAGATGCAATTTCATGTCAGACACTGTTCGAACAGCGACTGGATGAAGCAGGCAAGAGCAACAACAGGGAGAACACCAACACGACTCCTGGAGTAGCCCTCACTGCCGAGACGCTCAGAACTATACTTAACGAGCAACTGGAAGCACTGCGGAACGACATCACGGCTATCAAGGCACACGGTATCTCGCGGGAGGACCTGGACACCACAATGGCCCCTCTACGGAAAGACATCGACGACATCACCAAGCGCGTAACGGTTCTGGACACATCATCCCGGCCGAACTACTGCAGCTACAGTGGTTTCTACGACCAACGCCAAACTACTGCAGCTAAAGATGGACATCCAAGCAATGAAGCAGCAGCGATCTACACCAGCACATCCACAACGACCTGGAATCCACGGCACCAACACCATCTCAGATAAGAGGAGCATTACGGCTGTCATCGGTAACCTTGGCGATTTCGTCACCATGGAGGCCGCAAGCAGTTGGATCCAACAAGAACTTCAACGTCTGGGCGCGCCAGTGCCAATAAACACCTGCAGCAAGGGAGAGTTCAACAATATGCTGTTCATGGGGTTCTTGAACACTGACGATCGAAACCTTGTGGTTGGACAGCTTCGGAGTGCCAAGATCAGCAGGAACGGGCAGCAGATTTGGGCTAGGAACGACCGCCCGCCTTTAGTCCGGGCGGCACGCAACTATTGTTTTGGCGTCAAGTCTCTGCTGAAGAACACCATGGGCCTCGAACGCCCCATCCGCGTTGATGACACGGAACAGCCATATACAGTCACAGTCGGCGGGCAATTGGCCTTGAGCGTGACGATCAACGGGGACACGGTCATACGCACATGGACTACGGGAGATTCGGCCGAATGGGAGGAATTACGCGACAACGAGAAATGAATTGAGCTGGCGAAGACGTGCGACGGGATCGTCGAGCGTGTTTCGGGGAATCTGAAAGGCGGCGGAAAAGGGCAGTCCGAAAGGTCCGCCTAGGGCCTACGGCGGGCACTTGCAACCACCGACAGTGCCCGAGCCACACTAACACGCGCTATGTCTTCTGGATTCAGGGGCGCGGAGACTACGGGCAAAGCTACCAGCACCTCCGCCGTTACGGAATACAAACGCCCGTATGCATGCTCAGACTCAGTTGTCCGACCCGGGGCTTCACTTTCAGTTCGCTCTAGCAGATCTCTCGTGCCCAGCCCCTCATTTCCCGCTCCAGACCTCCAGTCCGAGCGTTCCTAGTTACCTACGCCCGCAGTTTTGGGTGCTATCGCGCGCGAGCATGGGCGAAACTACCCTCGAGTAGCGCACGGCGGATGTATTGTAGTGGCCTCCGGCCAGTGCCGCCGATCTGGGGCGCTCCGCAAGATGCAGGGGGGGGGGGTCCGCTCTGCACTGGGGGGGGGGGGGGCTGCAGGGGCGGGGTCGCGCGCGCGAGCATGGGCGAAACTACCCTCGAGCAGCGCACAGCGGATGTATGATTACCTTACTCAGCACGGTGTTCCCCAATCGCTGACGGAAATTATCCGTTTCACCTACATGCGCACAGTTTCCGACGACAGGTGTTGGCCCCAAGGTTCTGCGCGGACGTGCCGAGCTGCACCGATCAGGTCATCATCTCGCACAGGCTACCCCGACTTCGACCTCTTCGACTCCAGGTCAGCATTCCGACATCCAACCTCTAGCATCAAACCTTTCACCTCCACCTCCGCCCATCGATTTGCAGCCTCCAACATACGATGTTCCACCTCCACCTTTAACCTCCGAGCTCCAGCATCCACCAGCTCGGTGTTCCGACTTCAGTTTTTCGGCATTCGGGTCCCCAGCTCTGCTTCCACCACTACCAGTGGACCTCCAGCCGTCAGCAGCACTACAACCTCCACTTTCAAGCAGCAGACTCTGCACCTCCACCTATCGACCTCCAGCTTCCACCACTTCCACCTATCGACCTCCAGCCTCCAACATACGATTTTCCGTCTCAACCTCTACCTTTTCGACCTCCAGGGCCCACCAAGTCAGCATTCCGACTTCAGTTCTTCGGCATTCGAGTCTTCACCTCCACTACAGCCGGTGGACCCCCAGCCTCCAGCAGTGCAGCACTCCGACCTCCACTCTCAAGCAGCAGACTTTGCACCTCCACCGATTGACCTCCAGCTTCCACCACCGCCACCTATCGACCCTCAGCCTCCAGCAGCCACTTCTCCACCTCCACCTCTACCTTTCGACCTCCAGCGTTCACCAAGTCAGTATTCCGACCTCAGTTCTTCTGCATTCGAGTCTTCATTTCCACCACAGCCAGTGGACCTCCAGCCTCCAGCAGCGCAGCACTCCGACCTCCACTCTCAAGCAGCAGACGCCGACCTCCAGCGTCCATCACTTGATCTCACACCACCACCACCATCTCCACCTTTCGACCTCCAGGCTCCGACGGCCCAGCATCCCGACATCCAGCGTCCATCATTCGACCTCCCACCACCACCATCTTCACCTATGGACCTCCAGGCTCAGACGTCCCAGCATTCCGACCTTCAAAGTCCAACATCCGACCTCCCACCACCACCATCTTCACCTATCGACCTCCAGGCTCCGACGGCCCAACCTTCCGACCTCCAGAGTCCAATATTCGACCTCCCACCACCACCATCTCCATCTATCGACCTCCAGGCTCCAGCGGCCCAGCATTCTGACATCCAGCCTCAAATAGTCGACCTCCCGCCACTGCCATCTCCACCTATCGACCTCCAGGCTCCGACGGCCCAGCATTCCGACCTCCAGCGTCCATCATTCGACATCCCACCACCACCATCTTCACCTATCGACCTCCAGGCTCCGACGGCCCAGCATCCCGACATCCAGAGTCCAACATCCGACCTCCCACCACCACCATCTCCACCTATCGACCTCCAGGCTCCGACGGCCCAGCATTCCGACATCCAGAGTCCAACATTCGACCTCCCACCACCACCACCACCATCTCCAACTATCGACCTCCAGGCTCAGTCCAATATTGGCTTGTCTCAGACCTCCCACCTCTAACCTCCGACTCTGGGAAGCCTACAGGTACAGCCCCAGACAGGTACCTACGGTACCGACCACGCTTCTGTAATGCGACCCCTTGCGCTTCACCCTCGGGGGATGCAGCGACCACGCCAGCGACTTGGGCTTCGACACTGACAGGTGTTATTGTCCCTACAACTCCAAATCACTCCGACCTCAGATTGAACATCCGACCTCCGACCTATGTACCTCTTCCCTCATCTTACCCCCACCCATACATGTCCCAACCACGCTGCTGGATTACTTTTCATTGCGTTTCACTACCGGCGGATACAGCGACAACGCCATCGACCGGGACTCCGACACCAAGGCGCGCAGATGCCCTTCCAACCTCAGGTACGAATTCCTCTCATATCTGTGCCGGTTCGGCGTTGCATCTACACGAACAGGGTTACCGACACCAGCCATGTTATCGTTCAGATTTCCAGCCGGCGGCAGCCAGCTTCCGACTCCAGCCTACACCAGTCGTCTTCCAACTTCAGTTCTCAGATCTCCAGCTTCCACCCGACTTCCCTGTTCTACCCGACCTCTCACCACCACTATCTCCACCTAGCGACTTCCAACTTTCACCATCTCCACGCCCCCACCTCCAGCCCCCAAGCCCCCAGCTCCCGACTTCCGACTTTCACCACATATGGACCTCCAGCTCTCACAACTTCCTGGTCCCGACCTCCAGCCTCCAGCATCCAACCTCCAACCACCACCATCTCCACCTTTCGACCTTCGACCTCTGACAGCCCAACATCGCGACCTCCAGCCTCCAGCACCCGACCTCCCACGACTACCACTTCCATCTATCGCCTTCTCACCTTCACTATCTCAGCGGCCCCACCGCCAGCCTGCAGCATCCGACCTCCACTTCCACCTCAACCTACTGGCCACCGGCCTCCACCAACTCAACACTCCGACCTCCAGCCACCACCATCTGGCTTGACACCACCACCACCACCACCTCCACCGATCGATCTCCGACCTGCCACTGCCACCATCGACCAACCCCACCGTTCACTACCGGACAGCAGCAACAATAGCACAAGTGAGCAGCATCACCAGCCTAACCTGTGAAGCACTGGAGGAGGACGAGGCAAATACAACACAGTCGACGGCGACGTCCCCGTCAGCGCACACCGAATCCACCAACGGGAGAGCGATGACGGTGGTAAATACGACCAGCATACTCCAACACCGCAGCCATCGTCAACCCAATTATTCACCATCATACACAAAAACGCACGAAGCCTCACAACTGATGACTCGATAGATGCACTGTTGCACGAATTGGACGGCGTACAGTGGGATGTAATTACCATCAACGAGACATGGAGAACGGAATCTCGTAACGTGAGATGCGGATCACAAAACGCGGGAAGCACTTATTCGCAGCATCGGGCCATACGGATGCGTCGCGTGGAGTTGCATGTCTCGTTCATCGGCGACACGTCCAACTGGTCAAACGTTTCGAAGCCATCAACGAGCGAATCGCTTATATCGACATCAACCTCCCCAAACAGCACATCAGGATCGTGACGGCATATTTCCCCTACTCCGGCTACGCGGATATACACATACAGCATCTGTACGACCATTTGGGAGCGATTCACGACGACGCCGTGCAATCCAAGCGGACATGTATTATTGTTGGTGACTTCAATGCGCAAGCGGGCACACAGTCTGCCAATATACATGATGATGAGGGGGACGACGACGACGAAAGAACAGATCACATGAGCCGGAGACATACTCTTGGCAAATTTGGTTTGGGCTTGTGCAACCCAAGAGGGACATGGCTCCGTGCATGGTCTACTACACGGAATATGATAATTACAAACACATTTGTTTTACAAACGCGACCACAATTTGTTCACCTACATAAGAAGTGGCAAACACACGACACAGACACAAATTGTTTACATATGGTAGACAGGGCACGACGATACCAAGTGGTCGACTCGTACGCCTCCAACGTTCCAGACCTCGGATCCGATCACCAAGCTGTGCACGTCAAGATGGACCTTGAGGCCACGACGAAAAGAAAAAGGAAACGGAAGCAACCGCACCGCGGCACGCGATCCCATCCCCCAGCCGACGACCCATTTTTCCAGCAATGTTTGCAACAGCATTTGAGCGACCACAACCACGACGCCGACTTGGACAGTAGGTACCATGACATTGGTGAAAGGGGTCAAGCTTGCAAGCAAGGATTACCAGGAACACCAAGAGCAGTCAGCCGGAGACCTTCAAGGACACGCCAACGACGGACCGACAGCATGGCTCAAGGGATTCATCCAACAAAGACGCGCAACCGCACCACGAGACACAAGTGCACGAATATCCCTTAGCAAACAAATCTTTCGACCGACAAGGGTTATCAAGCGTGCTGGTATGAATGCCGAGCTCGAGGAGATTGTCTGCCAAATCAGAGGACGGAAGAAACTATCTGGGTTGAAAACCAGCAAGCACAAAAGTATGATCCCATCAATGACCACAGCTGAAGGTACCGACGAGACAGATAGACAAAGCATAGCAGAAGTATTCGCGACTTTTTTACAAGAAGCTGTACAAGGACCCGCACCGCGTAGCCAGCACCGGCAACACCCACCTGCAGACGCACGACGACTCGACCGTCCCGCCTTTCACAGCAAGCGAGCGACACCGCTGGGCTCACGGCAGAATTGCTCAAAGCAGGAGGCACCACCTTACAATACCATCTGCTTCGACTATACGACGACACCATCAAGCCTGATCGCCCCCCCGCCAGACCAGTGGAAAAGCACCACCATCACTGTAATGCACTTGTCTGGTGACCCCAAACAACCGGGCAATTACAGACCAATGACCATCAACATTCTGCTGTATAAGTTTATGTCTCGCCTCCTCTGCAACCGGCTCAGCGTCTTGTTCGACGCGCAACAATGCCCAGACCAAGCAGCTTTCCGCAATAACTATTGCACAGAGCACCACTTGTTCACCACAACAATGCTTCATGAGAGCTCTCACGAATGGCAGCTGCCGCTCTGGGCCGCCGCAGTAGATCTCAAGAAAGCGTTTGACTGCGTTAACCACGACTGTATGTGGGACGCTCTACGACAGCAACATTACCTCCCGCCTACATCACCTTCCTGCAAGACTTACATACCACCCAAACTGGTACAGTTCGGACGGATACCAACAGCAGAGCCTTCAATATCGAACGGGGCGTTGAACAGGGAGACCCGCTGAGCCCTTTCCTTTCCAACGCCGTCGTAGAGCATGTGTTCAGACAAGTGAAACCTTTTTGTTACGAAAGAAATTCGGGATCCACCTTGGCTTTTCAGCACAAGCGTGGATTACAAATCTGCGTTTCGCCGACGACGTGTTGTTGTACGCCACTCACCTGAGACAGCTAACCTGCGTACTTCGTGACGTACAAACCCACGCAGCTAAATGTGGTCTGTTACTACATCCAGAAGAGGCGAATATTCTGACGAACTGTAGCCGGAGAGAGGGGAGAACAATCACCCATGTCGACATCAACGGCGGCAGCATCAGCATCCTACATTCCAGCCACGGAACGAAGTACTTGGGGAGAAAGCTCACTTTTCACGAATTTCATGACACAGAGCTGCATAACAGGATTGCCTCAGGGTGGGCCCGTTTCAATAGGTTTCGTTACGAATTGACCAACGAACGCTTCCCGCTCCATAGTAGATTGAGGTTGTTCAATGGCACTGTCACGCCATCCGTGTTGCACTGCTGCTAATGATAGACTCTGACGAAGGAGATGCTTCTTATTCCCAGGCGCGTCCAACGGAAAATACTTAGGCTTGTCACGGGAGTACCGCGGAGACGCAACGAGCAACACCAGCACGCGCCCGACACCTCCGACGACCACCGCCACCACAACATGACCGACGCCGACAGCGAACAACCCGAACTACACAGCCAGCAACAGCGACGAGAGGAATGATGACGGAAAGGAGCCATGGGCCGACTACATTCGACGAGCCACGCGCGAAGCCACGGACCATGCTCCCCGAGCCCAAGTGGAATAATGAACTATTCTATATTTCAATCGGAAATGGAAGTGGGCATCCCGTGTGGCGACACACGATTGCGACAGGTGGACTTCCTTAGCTGCCTCATGGGAACCACGCTCACATGACCCGCGCCCAGCGCACCGGCGGCACGGAGGTCAACGAAAGCGATGGGCAGACGACATCATGCGCTTCTTACGCGGCAAGGGCATGTGTGAAGACCGCGACGACCATGAACACAACAACCAATGGTTTCCAATTTCAGCAGATCAGCAGTTATGGAAAGATCTAGAATCTGATCTTATACCATACGCCTACGCCCACTACAACCTATAGGATGTGGAATGCTTCCCCGAATCCAGCGTTATGTGTTCTGCCCACTCTGGTCGTTTCACAGAGTTCTCTTCACACCTTTCCGACTCCTGTTCCCATCCATATTTCCGACTTTGGCTCCGGCTCCGACCCCTGCCCCCAACACGTCTCTTGAGGGCTCCCCCCCCCCGCGCCGCCCTATGAGGGCCGGCCCCGCCGGACCGAACTCGCGCGCTCGCCTCGCCTCGCCTCCTCCTCCTCTTCCTCCTCCTCCCTCTCCCTCCTCCTCCTCGTCCTTCACCTCCCCAGTTTTCCTCCTCCTCCTCCTCCTACTTCTCTTCTGTTTCCTCCTCCATCCTCCCCTTCTTGGGGTACGACGTCTGGCCCAGCCCTTTATTCCACTACATGCTTTCCACATCCCTGATCAACTCCACATTCCTGATCAGGACATCCCCAGCCATGTCGACATTACGGAAAATTGCAACATCGCGAAAACCAAGACTGGAGCCCACGACCAATCAGTGCTGGTCTCGGGGCATTAATTTCGGGCGAAAGAGCCCAGCGCGAAAAAGCTGCAACGCCCAGACAAGATGCACCGTTACCGTTGCCGACATTCCCCAGACTTCTCCTGGGGAGCGTTTTGACTTGAATTCCGGGGCGAATTCAGCCGTGGCGACGAGGGCCGCCCGTTGGGATGACCGCGAGGGTTGAGAAGTCGCCGCGCCGTTTGTACTTCAGGCGGGGCAGCGATCTGGGCTAAGTGGGCTCCGCCCACTTGGCAGAGTTATGCAACCACCCCTACGCCACGCGGGGCATGTGCAACCCACTTATAGGCAAGGTTGGGCCAGGTATCACCACCTTGTCATCCGCTTATAGCCCCCTTTATCCCCCTATCAGCCTCCGCGGTCATCCTGGCTGACCTCTTCCCAGGGGCTTTCTGACCTCGGGGCGAATCCAGTTGTGGCGACGATGGCCTCCCAGGAGGCCCCCGAAGGGCGAAAACAAGGCAATCCAGAGATCTGATGTCTTGAGGGGTCCTCGGAAGTCTCGACCCACTCTTGGCACTGGCTTTTCATCCTGGGCAGATTTTTGACGGTCCTGGGGCCCGGCGAGGGCCCCTGCAACCCCTCGCGAAACTTAACGCAAGTTTTGCCGAACCCCCTCGTCCCCAAGTCCAATGTTCAGTTGCGCGCGCGGCGCGGTCCGCGGACGCCGACGGAAAGTTTGAAGTCATGTGTTTCGGCAGCAGCATTGAAGTGTGGGGGTCTGGGGGCGCCGACGCGTCGCGGGATAAAAAGTTGCGTCGAGCTTCGGTGAGGGATGTAGGCCGACAGCGGCAAGCAACAAGCCGTCCTGAGTTTGATGATCCACAATTGCTGACGAGCTGCATCCACCTTGGTATGATGATCGGGCTCTCTGCTGCCCTGAGGGCTTTTGGAAGCGTCCGGTTTAGACGTTTATCCCGAGGGTGAAATACGTCTTGCTTTTTCGTTTGTCCGTTGCGTTGGATCTCTGAGGAGGGCCCTTCCGCTCGACCCGAGAGGAGCAGATCCGGGAGGCGAGGGGCAGCGGCGGCAAGCTCGAGCCGCTGCACAGCATGGGCCTCTCGGAGGCGCCCGCGGGCGCGCCCGCGGCGCTGGAGGTGCGCGGCGCCCAGCTCTCCCTCCCCGGCAGCGACCGGCCCCTCTGGAGCGGCGCGTCGCTGCGCGTGGAGGCTCAGGGGCTCTCGAAGACGGCTGGGGGCCCGAGAAGGGCCCCGGTCTGGCCAGCAGGAAGACCCTGAGCTTCTGGCGCTTTTCGCCGGACGTTTTCGCCCCTTTGTCGGGCCCCGGGGCCCTCACAGATCGATCCGGCTCGAAAAACGACGCACAAAGATGGGTTCGGGGCTGCGGCCGTGATTTGCTCCGATGTAGTATGCTTGTTCGTAACGTCGGGTCTCAGGGTGGGGGCAGGTCCGAGGTTCTAGATTCGATCAAGTTGTTGCCTTGTCCGGCCCTCCAGGGGCCGTGTTCGGGCCCCGGGGCCGTGAGAACCGGATCCGGGGCGACAGGCTGCACGAGATGGAATTTGAAATTCTTTACGCTTCGCGTATCCCCACCAGCCCATCTCAAAACAGCAACTCTTGCGAAGCATGCCGACAGTCGTGTTTTTCAGGCGTGTTTCCGCCTGCCCCCGCATATCTCCCCTGTTCCTCCTTCCTCCCGCCTCCTTGTACATCCTCCTTGTGGTGGGAGCGGGAGAAGGACGAGGCGGAGGAGGAGGGAGAGAAAGCGCTCCTCGTGGTTTGAGTCGTTTGGGGTTTCTTGTCCTGGTGTGAGTCGTTCGGGCCCTTCTTCCTGGTGTGAATCGTTCGGGCTCTTCGTGATGTGAGTCGTTCGGGCTCTTCGTCCTGGTGTGAGTCGTTCGGGCTTCTCGTGGTGTGAGTTGTTCGGGCCCCTCGTCGTCGTGTGAGTCGTTCGGGCCCCTCCTCCTGGTGTGACTCGTTCGGGCTCCTCGTGGTGTGAGTCGTTCGGGGCCCTCGTCGTGGTGTGAGTCGTTTTGGGAGCCTCTTGGAGGCCTTTTGGGGCGTCTTCGGGGCCTCTTGGCGGCCCCAGGGGCTTCTAGGAGCGTCTTGGGTGCCTTGGGGGAGCCTCTTCGGGCCTCTTGGGAGCCTCTTGGAGGCCGTTTGGGGCGTCTTGGGGGCCTCTTGGCGGCTCCAGGGGCTTCCAGGAGCGTCTTGGGTGCCTCGGGGGAGCCTCTTGGGGCCTCTTGGGCGCCTCTTGGGGGCATCTTGGGGGCCTCTTGGAGGCCTCTTGGGGCCTCTTGGGACTCTTTGGGAGGGGTCTGGGAGGAATCTTGGGGCCATCTGTCGGGCGATCGATCACAGATGGGGCGAGCACTTTTCTCCCCCCCCCGTCGGGGCCAGAATCCTCGTGAGGGGTGTCGAATTTTAGCCCTCCCAGGAGTCGAAAAAGACCCCTCCAACGACCCGCGAGACGCCCTCTCCAGGCCCAGGGGGAGGGGGTAGGGGGAGGGGTAAACCCCTCCCCGAAGGGGAAGAAGGGGGTTGAGAACAGAGCGGGCTCTCTAAACCACTCACGCCCAAAGGGCTGGTGGGATTAGTAGTGGTAGTACTAGTAGTAGCAGTAGTAGCAGTAGTAGCAGTAGTAGTGGTAGTAGTGGTAGTACCAGTAGGAGCAGTAGTAGTACCAGTAGTGGTAGTAGTAGTAGTAGTAGTAGTAGTAGTAGTAGTAGTAGTAGTAGCAGCAGCAGCAGCAGCAGGAGTAGTAGTAGTAGTAGTAGTAGTAGTAGTAGTAGTAGTAGTAGTGGCATTACCAGTATCAGCGGTAGTAGCAAACGTAGTCGTCCACGTCGTCGTCGCACTAGTTGTCTCAGTAGCAGTGGCAGTCACTAGAGCAGTGGTCTATATGGAAGTAATAGTAGTAGTAGTACTAGGAGTAGTAGTAGTAGTAGTAGTAGTAGTAGTAGTAGTAGTAGTAGTAGTAGTAGTAGTAGTACTGGTAGTAGTAGTGGCCGTAGCACCATGAGTAGAAGTAGTAATATTAGAGGTAGAAGTAGTAGTAGTAGTAGTAGTAGTAGTAGTAGTAGTAGTAGTAGTCGTAATAGTCGTAGTAGTCGTAGTAGTCGTAGTCGTACTAGAAGCAGTACTAGTGATGGTAGTCTTAGTAGTTGTAGTGGTAGTTGTCGTGGTAGTAGCAGTAATAGGACGATTAGGAATAGTAGAAGTAGTAGTCTTAGTACTAATAGCAGCAGTAGTAGTAGTCCAGTAGTACCAGTAGCAGTGGTACTAGTAGCAGTGGTAGTGGTAGTACTAGTAGTAGTAGTAGTAGTAGTAGTAGTAGTAGTAGCAGCAGTAGTAGTAGTTGTAGTAGTCGTAGTAGTAGTAGTAGTAGTAGTAGTAGTAGTAGTAGAACTAGAACTAGTACTAGTAGTAGTAGTAGTAGCAGTCGTAGTAGTAGTAGTAGTAGTAGTAGTAGTAGTAGTAGTAGTAGTAGTAGTAGTAGTAGTAGTAGTAGTAGTAGTAGTAGTAGTAGTAGTAGTAGTAGTAGTAGTAGTAGTAGTAGTAGTAGTAGTAGTA